ATATTTGTCTTCTTTCTTTTCTTTTCTCATAATTCATTGTCATTGTGTGGTGATATCAATCTTGTTCATCAAGATTGGTAGAAATTCATCATAGATATCTGGTGGATTTCCAACATCTGATATCAAGAGCTCGGTTTCGATTCAAGGGAAGTATCGATCAAGAACGATTGAGGAAGAAAAAGAATTCACGACGGTGAATTATGAGAATGGAAATTATCCAGTAACTCTATCAATTCTAAAAGTAGACAACTATGATAATTGGTGCAAATATATGAAAGTTTTATTCAGGTGTCAAGGTCTTTGGGATCTTGTAAATGATGGATTGGAAGCGCTTGGAGAAAGCGCTTCAGAAGAAGAAAAGAAGAAACACACAGGATCTGAGAAGCTGAGTTATAAAGCACTATTTATAATTCATCAATGTATGAGTCCAAATTTTTTTGAAAAAGTGAGTGATTCAGAATCTGTAAAAGAAGCTTGGAAGGTTCTTGAGAAGTCTTTTGGTGGTGCAGAAAAGGTGAAAGAAGTGAGGTTACAAACTCACAAGAGAACGTATGAATTGCTTCAGATGGAAGATAGTGAGAGCATATCTGGTTTCTTCACTAGGATTTTAAAACTAGTGAATCAAATCAAGGTATATGGAGAAACATTAACAACAAGAGTTGTTGTTTCGAAGATCTTGAGATCTTTGGCTCCTAAGTTCGACCACGTGGTGATGGCTATAGAAGAGGGGAAAGACTTGTCGAAATTGACAAAGGAAGAGCTTCAAGGGACGCTTGAATCTCATGAACAAAGAATGACTGAAAGAGATGCATGCAAGTTGAAGAGTGATGTGGCTTTGCATGCACATTCAGCAAAAGAAACCAAAGGCAAAGGAAAGTGGTTCGACAGAGGTAAAGGCAGATACAACAAATCGACTGGTAGAGGAAACCAGAACGAAGGAAACATGTCGAATCAGAGAAGATCATACCAAGGAAACCAAAGAGGTGGTGTTGCAAATATAGGAAGAGGTGGTGGTCGAAAACCTAACAAGAGTCACACTCAATGTTACAATTGTCAGAAGTATGGTCACTATTCGAGTGATTATCCAGAAAAACGAAAGAATCAAGAAAGTGATACAAAATTTTCAAAACATGAAGAAGAAGAGATGATGCTGATGGTCACAACAAGAGATGAAGATAGATTCAAGGACCAATAGTACTTGGAAGGAAAGACTGGTTTGTCAACATAAAGGCCTGAATGAAAAATATGGTAAAATTCGTAAATAATAATATCCTAGCAGCTGAAGGTATTGGTGATGTTATGATTATGATGAAAGATGGCAAGAGGTCAGTAATTTCCAATATGTTATACATACCTGGCATGAAGAGCAATTTGCTCAGTATAGGACAATTGGTCGAAAAGAATTATAAAGTGTTGATCGAAGATAAGATGATGAGAATCGTCGATGCAAATGGAAGATTAATCTTGAAGGCTCCTATGTCTCAGAATAGAATCTTCAAGATCGAACTAAATGTGATGGAGCACAAGTGTCTTTCGACTGAAGCTAGCAGGAGTGAATGGATATGGCATTATCGACTAGGCCATCTTAACTTCAGAGGCATCAGAGATTTGAAGAGAAGAAATATGGTTTCAGGATTGATGCAAATTGACATTCCAAACGAGGTATGTGAGGAATGTGTGCAGGAAAAGCAGCACAAGAATAGCTTCAGCAAGGATGCAGGAAGCAAGTCGAAGGTTATTCTTGAAGTTATTCTGATGTATGTGGACCAATCCAGATGGATTCGATGGGAGGTAACAAATATTTTGTTACATTCATAGATGATTTTAGTCGAAATCTGTGGACTTACCTGATCAAGAAGAAAGACAAAGTGGTCGAAAACTCAAAATTTTGAGAACTGATGGTGGTGGAGAGTATGTGTCGAAAGACTTCGACAGGTTATGTGAAAAGGAAGGGATTGTGCATGAGGTGATGCCACCCTATACTCCACAACATAATGGAACTGTAGAAAGGAAGAATCGAACCATCATGAATATGGTGAGAAGTATGTTGAAAGGCAAGAATTTACCTAAAGAGTTTTAGGGTGAAGCTGTGTCGACTGCAACATACATTTTGAACAGATGTCATACGAAGAAGCTAGAAAGAATTACTCCAGAAGAATGTTGGTCTGGTGTGAAGCCTAGCTTGAGTCATCTAAAGGTATTTGGATCTATTGCACATAGACATGTGCCAGATCAGTTGAGAAGAAAACTTGATGACAAATCGAGTCAAATGATTCTAGTTGGATATTATTCGTCAGGGGGTTACAAGTTGTTCGACCCAGTGAACAAGTAGACTGTGATCAGCAGGGACGTGATCATAGATGAGCTTAAAGAATGGGATTGGACTGAAAATGTCAAGAAAGATTCAGTGGGAAATCCTACTTGAAGAACCAGGTACTCAAGTCAAAAGAGAAGTTCGACAAGAGGAACCAGCAGTTATAGATCAACCAAGTACAAGCAAACCCCAAAGAACAAGACACATGCCTGCAAGATTGCAAGATTGTGTGATTACATCAGATGATGTGGTAGATAATGAAGGTGAGTTGGTACATTATGCTTTCTATGCAGATGTCGAATCTGTCAATGCAGCTGAAGCATTGAAGGATTCGAAGTGGGTGAAAGAAATGAACGGAGAAGTGAAGTCTATCAAAGACAATAACACTTGGTCACTTGTCGAATTGCCTCAAGGCAAGAAGGAAATTGATGTCAAGTGGGTATACAAAGTGAAAATGAATTCCAAAGAGGAAGTAACTCGACACAAAGCAAGGCTTGTGACGAAAGGATTTCTATAAAAAAAAAGGAATAGACTTCGATGAAGTTTTTACACTTGTTGCTAGGATCAAAACAACCAGGTTGGTTGTTGGTCTAGCAGAAATAAATAGATGACACATATGTTAGATGGACGTGAAGTGTGCATTCTTGAATGGACCCTTAGACGAAGAATTTTATGTTAAACAACCAGTTGAATTTGTGAAACATGACGAAGAGAGAAAGATGTACAAGCTGCATAAAGCCATGTATGGATTGAAACAAGCTCCAAGAGCTTGGAATAAGAAAATTGATAATTTCTTAAGGGAGAAGGAATTTGTGAAGTGCACAATTAAACATGGAGTATATGTAAGAAGAAGCAATAATGAATTTCTTATACTATATCTCTATGTCGATGATTTTTTATCGAAGACTTCAAAGGTGATCTCAACAAGGAATTCGAAATGTTTGATCTGGGTGAGATTTCATATTTCCTTAGCATCGAGTTCTACAAGAGAAGTAGAGATTTGATGATGCATCAAAGAAGATATGTAGGAGAAATTCTCAAGAGATTTGAGATGGAAGAATACAACTCAACTTCGACACCTGTAGAACCAAGACTGTGACTGTCGAAAGATGCAAATGAAGATCATGTCGACCCAATCTAATACAGAAGACTTATTGGGTCATTGAGATACCTTTGTCATACAAGGCCTGACTTAGCATATAGTGTAGGTATGATAAGTAGATTCATGCAGAAGCCAAATGTATCACATCTAGCATCAGTGAAGAGGATACTAAGGTATCTCAAAGGAACTTTCGACTATGGCATTTTGTTTTCTGCAGCTGATAAAGAAAAAGAATGCAAGTTAGTGGGATACACTGATTCGAGTTGGTGTAGTGATGCTGAAGATCGAAAATCAACAACATGATATGTGTTTATGTTAGGTGGTGCGCCAGTTGCTTGGAGTTCAAGAAAGGAACCAGTAGTGGCATTATCATCATGCGAAGCAGAATACATAGTTGTTTCTCTTTGTGCATGTCAAGCAACTTAGACGGTGAACTTGGTCGAAGAGATAACATGGAAAGATCATGGAGAAATTACCATGAAGATCGACATCATATCAGCTATCAATCTGGCGAAGAACCCGATAGCACATGGTTGAAGCAAGCACATCGTAATGATGTTCCACTTTCTTCGAGAGCAGGTAACAGATGAGAAGATGAATTTAGAACACTGCAGAACTGGAAATCAGATTGCAGACATCATGACAAAGGGAATGCTGGTCGAAGTATTCAGAAGACTAAGAACCATGATGAATATAGATGGTTTAGACATAATGAATTAGGTGGTGTGTTAAATTGTAATTCGATTGTGTCAAAACAGTGTGTGTGTTGAAGGGAGATTGCCCATTCGAAGAGCTTGTGGATCGAAGCAAGCTACACACATATTTGATTGGTTTTAGATTTAGATAAATTTGATTTAGATCTAAAATAGATAGATTTGATTCAGTACTTTTGAGCTTTTATAGTTTTGGGCTTTGCCTTAGGGAGCAAGTTAACCTAAATCTATAAATAGAAGGAGTAACCCCTAATTTTGTAATTAAGTCAATTCATTGTAATCACATATTTGAAGTTGCAAGTGATTAATAAAGTTTTCCACAATTTATGGACAGAGAGAAACTCTGCAGAAAATAATTGTCTTTTTTCTTTTCTTTTCTCATAATTCATTGTCATTGTGTGGTGATATCAATCTTATTCATCAAGATTGGTAGAAATTCATCATAGATATTTGATAAATTTCCAACATAATTAAATTACAAAAATTAATATCTTCAAATGGACTAATCACATATTTAAAAGTTAAACTTAAAATAAAATATATGACAAAACATATTTAATCCCATAATACGCAAGATGAAAATAGATTGGCATGTAAATTAACTAATTATAATAATGTATCAAAAAGAATGACATAAAGGTTTTCTAACAATAGAAGGGATGGTAACAAAATCTGTTAAAGAAATGCAAGAAGCTTTTTCCAAGAGATCTTAAAAAATGGAAATGAACAAACAATCAGTTTGGAATTTTTGGAAGCAAATTATATTTTGTCCAACAAGAAGAAAACATGAGAAATGAAAGCAAAAGTTTGATAGAAGAAAAATTCAATTAAGATCACAAAGTTTTGAGACACAAGATTAGAATAACTCATTATGGAAGCTGATCGAATTCATCAACTACAGAATAAAGGACTAATTGATTGCTACTGGAACCGTGTGGATAATCCTGGTACCATATGGAACTCAGAAAATGTATTATCACATTACCTTCCAAATCTAGTCCTGCAAATATTACTCGTTGTTTCCGCAACTCGTTTAATCTTTTGGATCCTTAGACCCTTACATCAACCTCATTTTGTTGCTGAGCTTCTTGTAAGTCCATGTTTTCCTCTCTTTCTCTTTGTTTACAATAAATATTCACATATCTAGAGGTAACAATATGTGAATAATTTGGTTATGGATTTGTGTATCATTTAGGTATTGTTTTCATTATCAAGAAATCCTATTAAATCACAAATGAATAATCTAAGTGTTTGTGTTTTTTTATAGGCCGGTTTCGTGCTAAATATATATGTTCCCATACTGAATTCCACACTGCTTGGAATAGCACTTCCTATAAAGGGACTCCTTGCTTTTGAGTCTATAGCACAATTGGGTATCATCTACTATGTGTTTGTAACTGGTTTAGAGATGAACTTAGAAACAGTATCAAGAGCAGGAAAAAAAGCATCAACTATTGCTATTGCTGGAACATTAATTCCAATGATATTAGGGTTTGTGATATATGTTTTAGTTGCAAAAACATTCGTAAAAAACGGCGAATTCAACACTGTTTCAGCTTATTTCTTATGGTCGTTAACTATTAGTATGACAAGTTTTCCTATGGTGGCACACATTCTTTCAGACCTTAAGATTCTCTATACAGGACTTGGTAGAGTCGCATTAACAGCGGCTACAATCAACGACTTTATCAATTGGGCAATGTTTATATTTCTTATACCGTTAATTGTTAACGGTATAAGAGGAATATTATCGGTGATATCAACCATATTTTTCGTTCTTTTTTGTCGTTGTGTATTAAGTCCTCCGCTCAACAAAATATTAATCAAGAAAACGAATCAAAACGAATGGGACTTGTATCAATTATCCTATGTGATAATTGGTGTTTTTACATGTGCAACTGTTACTGAATTTCTTGGTACACATTCTGTTGTTGGAGCATTGGTTTTCGGGTTGATTCTTCCGCGTGGAAAGTTTGCAGAAATGTTGATAGAGCAATCGGAAGATATTGGATCTGGATACTTAGCCCCGTTGTTTTTCGCAAATATTGGTGTAAGAACTGAAGTGCTTCCAGTTTTAAAGGGAAACTTTATTTTGGTTATTTTTATCATGATAGTGTTGATTTCAACTAAGATTTTGAGTACTATAGTTGCTACTCGTTTCTACGGAATGCCGATTCGTGATAGTATGGCTCTTGGAATGCTTATGAATACTAAAGGGGTCTTGTCATTGATTATACTCAACATTGGATGGGATAGAAAGGTACTGATTTGTGCATATATATATGTTTATGATCTTGTTACTTTCTTGATTAGATTAATGTGTTTTTGATTCTGACTTTTTGTTTTCAGGTTATTAGCAAAGAAGCATTTACAATTATGGTTTTCAGCATATTTTTTATGACAGTTATAGTGGCACCTATTATCAATGCAATGTACAGACCAAGAGTAACATATGAACAAAACAAGTTAAGGACAATAGAGAATTTGAAAAGTGACTCTGAGATTAGAATTATGGCTTGTGTACACAATGCTCGCCAAGCAAATGGAATGGTCAATATCCTTGAAGCTTGTAATGGCGTAAATGTTTCACATGTACGCGTCTTTGCGCTTCAACTTGTTGAACTCAAAGGACGTGCGGCTGCACTTCTGGTTGCGCAATTAGACCAACAACAACAAAAGGAATCACATATCCTTGATCAATCGTCGGAGACGAATAATTACTCGTCCAACCATATTACCAATGTTTTTGAAGAATATTCGTCTAATAATGCTAACACTGTTGTGGAAAATCTTGTTGCTATGTCTTCTTATTCGACGATTCATAAAGACATATATAATTTAGCGTTGGAGAAACAAGCTTCGTTGATTTTACTTCCTTTTCATAAGCAAAGCACTGTGGAAGGTTCTTTAGAGATAACTGAGGCAGCAGTTAAAGACATTAACCGAAACTTGATGCAAGACGTGCCTTGTTCGGTTGGAATTTTCGTTGATCGTGGCCATCACGCTTCGTTGTTCAAGATTAAAATGCGTATTACTATGATTTTCATTGGTGGACCTGACGACCGAGAAGCCTTAGCGATTGCTTGGAGAATGTCAAAGCATCCGTGGACACGGCTTACCGTGGTGAGGATATTTTTATGTGGTAAGGCAGCCGAAGTTAATTCGTCGGGGTATGATGAAGGACAAGGACTATTAGCTGCGATTTTAGATTCGGGAAAGCAAAAAGAGTTGGATGAAGGATACCTAGGTTCGTTTCGACTTAAAGCGGTTAACAATGAAGATAGTATAACTTATGCTGAAAGAGAAGTGTATGCAGGTGAAGATATTCCTGAATTGCTTAATGAATTGGATAGAGTAGGTTGTGATTTATACATTTTAGGACATGGAAAAGGAAGAACCTCTTTGGTTTTGTTGAATTTGTTGGAATGGGCTGATTGTCTTGAGCTTGGTGTTATTGGTGATATGTTGGCATCAGATAGTTTTGGTTCAAACTCTTCAATACTTGTTGTACAACAATATGGATTTGGAGGTGTAGAATTCAATACTAATCATAGTTCTCACAAAGCACATTCAAACAATGATGATCTTGAGTCATTTTCCCAAAGGTAGAATGACACCAATATTTGTAGGTGATTATTGGTGTCATTGTAAGATATAATGACTAGATGATTCAAACAAATACTTTGATTTAGTTCATAGAATCAAGGGATTGATGTTGTAGAATTTATCATGTTGTTGTAGCTAGTTTTGTCATAATTTGGATGTAGAATTTATGGATGTTGTGGTAGAACTCAATACTAGTTTTGTCATAGTTTGGATGTGTTGGTAAAAAGATACTGTGGTGATTTTATCTTTTGCATTGAGACTATCATCCAACAAAAATATTTTAAATCATTATTACGCACCAAATTAAACATATATTTATAGTGTTCTTAGATCAAACAATTCACTAGAGTTTAACAATTCAAATCCATGTGTTAAGATAAGTTAAGTTACGAGGTACAAAATATGCAGGCACGTGAGCCATATTTCAGGCCCTAGTATTTCTAGAGTCTTGCCCTTCAAAATCAAACAGATTATCATTGTCACTAATTTAAAGTACTTTAAAACTTTTTAGTATCTTCATAAGTTTTGGCATATTTCTTTTATAGGTCGACAAACGGCGTTGAGTTTGCCTCAGTTACTAGTTTGCAAGTTTTATAGGAAAAAAGTCAAATGGATTTTCATATACTTGACAGATACAACAACTTATGGTATCATGTTTAGTAATAGACAGGGTGATCTTTCAGCTCGAGGATAAGTTGAATTAGACCATGAAGGTGATATGGAT